GTTTTTCCCCTTTATTTTGTTTCCGGGGGAAAAAACCTTCCCTGCCTCCTTGATTTTTTGCACATAGTCCATCATTTCTGTAGGTTTTCCTGTCAGTTCCCTCCCCCATAAATGTTTTAAAGGAATTTCCTATGCCTGGAGCCCCCCTTTTGAGTTTGGTTTTTCCCATCCTATTCTGCTTCTCTCCACTTGGACTCAACTATGAGTCGAACACAAAACCCACATGATCACTAGCTCCCGGGGGCCCTTTTCATACAAGATACCCTCGGTCTGAATACTAAAAGGTGAAACAGGTCCAGTCTGCTGGTTCATTTTTCCCTCTCTCTTGGTAGGTCTCTAACATGTTGATGCATGATTTTCCCATACTACATCCTCATCTTGGCTCTCCATTTTTCGGAACCCCCAGGGGGTCCAGGTTTCCAGTCAATTCCTTTTTTTTTTAAATCCCCCAAAACTAGTAACTTTGCCCCCCCGGTGTTTCCCCGGGCCCCCTCGGAGTGTGTCGCCCATGGCTTGTTTCTCTCGATTCTTCTCTTGGCTCCTGCGTTTGTGGGGGGGTTTTTGTACATTACTGCAATTATCACTTATGCCCCTCATGGTTTGTTCCTATAAGTAGTCCCTTTTAACCTGCCACCCATTCCTTCCATTTTCTAAAAACCCCCTCGGCTTTTAATGAGCAGTGCAACTCCCCCCCCTCCCCTCCCTCTGTCTTTCCTGAAGATTTGAACCGGGGGAAAGATTGAATCTTTATTATTCTGGTGAGTTTTGTTTCTGTGAGTGCTATTATGTCGGGGGATGCCCCTTGATTTTTCGTCCACTCCTATATTTAAATTTTTTATTCCCTCATTTGTATACCTACCTTAACTTTTTTCTAAGACTGTGGTCTGGGGGGTGTATTGGGGGGGGGAAGGGGAACTGATAAAAACTTGGGTGGTTGCTGTGGGGGGGGAGTTTGTAAAGTAGGGGTGGGGGCATTTGGGTTTGGGTGGGGTTTTGTTTAGGGTTTGGCTCACTGGGGTTTTACCTTTGGGGGCTTCTATAGGAAGCTGTGGGGAGGTTGTATTTGATCTATGGGTTTGTTTGTGTGTGTGGGTATGTGTGTATGTGTGTGTTGTATGTGTGCGTGTGTGTGTGCGGGTTTTTGTATGTGTGTGTGCTTTTATCACCAGTTTTGTACTCCCTAGTTGAGGTTGCGGGGGGGTCAGTCCGAGCTCCTGGCCCCGCCCCTTCCTGATCGCTACGGTCACTCTCCCTGAGCCCTGAGCTTTTAATCTACCTTGCTAAAGTATGTTGGATCCCGCCTCCCCTCATCGCTTCCCAAACTATTCCCTTCTGACACTCTGTGGGTTTTGTGTGTGGTTGTGTGTGTGCGTGTTTGTGTGTGGTGTGCATGTGTGTGTGTGTGTGCGCGCGCGCGCGGTGTGTGTGTTATCCCTATTGTGGTTGCAGGGGGGGAGTCTTAGCTCCTGGCCCGCCCCTTACCCGGGTTCTACTGGGCCCCTCTCTCCCCGCCCAGACTTTATCAAACTCGTCTTAAAAAGGTAGGGTTCCCGCCTCCACAAGTCATTTTCTAGGCTATTCCCCTCCTTACAACTCTATGACTGAAGAAATACTTCCTAAAATCTCTCGACTCTTTGTGTCTTCAACTTCCCAAATTTTGGCCTTTGTTTCTGTGTTTCCCCCCCCTGGAACTCCTGTCTTGTACACCTTTCATTCCCCCAGTTTTTATATGTGTTACATGTTCCCCTGACCCTCCCGTCCTCCAGTTGGTCAGGCCCAGTCCCCTTTAAACTTTCTTTATAGGACATTCCCCCTTTGCTCTGGAATAACCTTTTGGCAAACCTTGTACTTTTTCTAGTTTCTTGACGTGCTTTTTCAAGTGCGGGTTCCAAACAGGTGCTGCATACTCCAGTATGGGCTGACATACACGGTGTACAGTGTCTTGAACGATTCTTACTAAGGTATCGGAATGCTGTTCTCAGGTTTGCCAGGCGCCCATATGCTGCAGCAGTTATCTGATTGATGTGTGCTTCCGGAGACATGCTCGGTGTTATTACTCACCCCAAGATCTTTCTCCTTGAGTGAGGTTTGCAGGTCTTTGGCCACCTAGCCTATACTCTGTCTGTGGTCTTCTGTGCCCTTCCCTATCTTCATGACTTTGCATTTGGCAGGATTAAATTCGAGAAGCCATTTGCTGGACCAGGTGTCCAGTCTGTCCAAGTCTCTTTGAAGTCCTGCCTGGTCCTCATCAGATTTAATTCTCTCATTAACTTCACATCATCTGCAAACAGGGACACTTCTGAGTCTAACCCTTCCATCATGTCGTTCACATATACCAAAAAATACACTGGGTCCTAGGACCGACCCCTGTGGGACCCCGCTCGTCACAGGTGCCCACTGTGATACATCATTACGTACCATGACTCGTTGTTGCCTCCCTGTCAGGTATTCTCTGATCCATTGCAGTGCCCTTCCTGTTATATGCGCCTGATGCTCTAGCTTCTGCACTAATCTCTTGTGAGGAACCGTTGTCAAGGCCTTCTTGCAGTCCAAGAAGATGCAATCAACCCACCCTCTCTCTCGTGTCTTACATCTGTTATTTTATCATAAAACTCCAGAAGGTTTGTGACAGGATTTGCCTTCCGTGAATCCGTGCTGGTTGGCATTTATACTCTTGTTCCGTTCCAGGTGCTCCACCACTCACCTCCTGATAATCTTCTCCATAATTTTGCATACTATACACGTCAATGACACAGGTCTATAGTTTAGTGCCTCTTTTTTCTGTCTCTTTTTTTAAAAATGGGAACTACATTTGCCGTCTTCCATACCTCAGGTAGTTGCCCAGTTTCCAGGGACGTGTTGAAGATTGTGGTAAGTGGCACGCACAACATATCTGCTCCCTCTCTAAGGACCCACGGGGAGATGTTGTCCGGTCCCATTGCCTTTGAGGTATCGATGTCCCTTAGCAGTTTCTTCACCTCTTCCTCATCTGTATGTATGTCGTCCAACACTTGTTGGTGTATTCCTTGCTGGTGTCCCCATCTGGTCTGTCCCCCTAGAGTCCTCCCTGTCTCTACTGTAAATACTTCCTTAAATCTCGTGTTGAGCTCCTCACATACCTCTTGATCGTTTCTTGTGAGTTCTCCACCTTCTTTCCTCAGCTTATCACCTGGTCTTGACTGTTGTCTTCCTCTAATGTGGCTATACAGCAGTTTCGGGTCAGATTTGACTTTCGATGCTATGTCGTTTTCATACTGTCGCTGGGCCCCCCCTCCCTTTTCTGTGCTACATGTGTGTGTATGTGTGTGGCGTGGGTGGCCTGTAGTTATTTAGATCTTTTCATCCCGGGAGATGGAGCTTTACCCCATTCCTCGGATCGAGCTTGGGTTTCCCCCATTCTCCAGGCTCTTTATAACCCTAGGGTTTGGGACTTTTCCGAATAATAAAATAAAAATAATAATAACAGGGTAGTTTTGTGTTCTTCCTTTTCCTCTTTCCCCCCCCCCCCCTTTCCCTCCCCCATTTCCCCCCTCCTCTTTCCCCCCTCCCCCCCCTCTTTTCCCCCCCCCTCCCTTTCCCCCCCCCCCCTCCCCTTCTCTTTTCTCCCCACCCGTGTACACACAAGTAGTGTATTTAGGGCAAGGGCACAATGTATACTTGCCATTGTTAATTTAACTTGGGGTAAACCCTGTACACATCTTCCCCCCGTAAATCCCCCCGTGTACACATCTTTCATGGGAACCCTATCCCACACCTTTTATACATCTCCCCATCGTTACACAGTCCCCCCCCGTATACCCCCACCAGTGTACACATCACCCCCACTCGTGAACAACTCCTCCACCAGTGTACACAATCCCCCCCCCAGTGTAAATGTCCCCCATGTGTACACAACTCCCCCCCCCAGTGCAACATCACCCCCACTGTGTACCAAATCCCCCCACCCTTGTACAAATGTCCCCCCTCGGTACACAACTCCCCCCCCCAGGTACACATCTCCCCTACTTGTAACAATCCCCCCACCAGTGTAACACTCCCCCATCGGTACACAAATTCCCCCCCAGTGTACACATCTCCCCCCCCCCCGTGTACACACTCCCCCCCCCAGTGTGACATCTTCCCCATCTGACACAAATCCCCCCCCCAGTGTAACATCTCCCCCCCTCGTGTACACAACTTCCCCACCAGTTACCAAACTCCCCCATCCCCCTGTACACATCTCCCCCCACCCGTGTACCATCTCCCCTACTCGTGTACACAAATCCCCCCCCCAGTGTCACATCCCCCCACTCGTGTACACAACTCTCCCCCCTCGGTACACAACTCCCCCACCCCGTGTACACATTCCCCCCCCCTGTACACATCTCCCCTATGTGTACACAAAAACCCCCACCAGGTAACATCCCCCCCCGTTAAACAACTCTCCCCACCAGTGTACACATCTCCCCCACCCCGGTACACATCTCCCCCCCCATGACACATTTCCCCCAAACCCTGACACAAAAACCCCCACCAGTGTACACACTCCCCCACTCGTGTACAAACTCTCCCCCCTCGTGTACAAAACTCCCCCACCATGTACACATCTCCCCCATCCCCGGTCACATTCCCCCCCCCAGGGGACACATCTCCCCTACTCGTGTACACAAAAAAAACCCCCCCCAGTGTACACATCTCCCCCCCCTCGTGTACACAACTCTCCCCACTCGTTAAAACCAAATCCCCCACCCCCCGGTCAATCTCCCCCCTTACCAGCGGTATAATCCTTTTGTTATAAGAGCAGAGGGAAGACGAGGTAAAGCAGAAATGGGATCCCGCTCCTAGGGAAGTAAAGGACACACCCAGGAGTGCCGGGGAAAACTTTGACCTTTCCCTCACCGGGAAAAAGCCGCCATGTGTGTATCTTAACCCCGACCAGAAGGGCAAGAGAGAGTATTGATGTCTAGACAAGCTGACAAAGGGGTGCCTTTCGACAAGCTGACAAGGTAAATGCCGTCTCAGACAAGCTGACAAGGTAATGCCCTGTTCAGATAAGCTGACAAAGGGGAGTGCACTTCTCAGCAATGACAAAGGGGAGTGCACTGTCTCAGTAAGCTGACAAGGTGAGTGCACTGTCTCAACAAGGGACAGGTAAGTGTCCCCGTCTCAGACATTTACAAAGGGAAAAGGGCCCCTTTTCAGACAATTGACAAGGGAGTGCACTGTCTCAGATAAACGCAAAGGTGAGTGCACTGTCTCAGACAAATGACAAGGTGAGTGCACGTCCGACAAACTGAAAGGTGAGTGCACTGTTCAGATAACGACAAGGTGATGCATGTCTCAGATAAGTGACAAGGTGAGGTTTACTGTTCAGATAAGCTGACAAGGGGTGCACGTCTCAATAAGCTGACAAAAGGGGAGTGCACTGTTAGAAAAGCTGCGGTGAGTGCACTGTCTGACAAAGGGGAGTACACGTTCAGACAAGGTGGGGACACCCTCTCGCAAGTTTACAAGGTGAGTACACTTGACAAGGGCAGTACCCCCCCCCCACACGCACGCACGCACACACAAACCCAAAACAACCCCACACACACAACACACACATACACACCACAACACACACACACACACACACACACACACACCACAAAACCACCAAAACACACAAAACACACACAAAGTTGACCTCCCCTCATTAAAAGGGAAAAAATGGTGACCATAAAATTGAAATTTCTCTCATTGCGCGCCCAACATCACTGTCACCATCACTGTGTCACAATCACTGTGTCACCACTGTCCCACCATCACTGTCCCACCATCGCTGTCACCATTATTGTGTCACCGCTGTCACCATCACTGTGTCACCACTGTCACCATTACTGTACCCGCACGTATAAGTTCTGTCAAGCACCTTAACTACTGGGAACGCTTGGAAGCACTTGACTTGTACTCGTTGGAACGCAGGAGGGAGAGATATATCATAGTCTACACTTGGAAAATCCTGGAAGGAATGGTGCCAAATCTGCACACAGAAATCACTCCCTACGAAAGTAAAAGACTGGGCAGGCGATGCAAAATGCCCCCAATAAAAAGTAGGGGCGCCATTGGTACACTAAGGGAAAACACCATAAGTGTCCGGGGCCCAAGACTGTTCAACAGCCTCCCATCAAGCATTAGGGGAATTACCAATAAGCTCCTGGCTGCCTTCAAGAGAGAGCTGGACAGATACCTAAAGTCGGTGCCGGATCAGCCGGGCTGTGGCTCGTACGTTGGACTGCGTGCGGCCAGCAGTAACAGCCTAGTTGATCAGGCCTTGATCCATCGGGAGGCCTGGTCATGGACCGGGCCTCGGGGGCGTTGATCCCCGGAATAACCTCCAGGTAACCATCACTGTCATCATCATTGTCCCACCATCACTGTGTCACCACTGTCACCATCACTGTCCCACCATCACTGTCACCATCACTGTGTCACCACTGTCACCATCACTGTCCCACCATCACAATGCCTCACTTTCACATACACTCACTATCATGAATGGATAAATGGATTTTAAATCCCACTAACCATCCATGACTGTACCACTGCACCAGTATCCCACTGTCTCTCCCCAGGTGTGGCGACTGGACCTGGTGATGGTGATCCTCTTCAAGTCCATCCCTCTGGAGTCCACTGATGGTGAGAGACTAGAGAAGAGTCCAGACTGCCTGCACCCAGCACTCTGTGTTAACCCCTACCATATTAACGTATCCGTCCGGGAGCTGGATCTTTACCTGTCCAACTTTATTACCATGAATGGTGAGTACTTGGATGGTTTCAGTACCATGAATGGTGAGTACTTGGATGGTTTCAGTACCATGAATGGTGAGTACTTGGATGGTTTCAGTACCATGAATGGTGAGTACTTGGATGGTTTCAGTACCGTGAATAGTGAGTACTTGGATGGTTTCATAATCATGAATGGTGAGTACAGTGCTTTCCTATATCCTTCCTGAATCTGAATTTTTCCAACTTTAAACCATTGCTGCGAGTCCTGTCTTGGCTGGATATTTTCAGCACGCTATTTACATCTCCTTTATTTATTCCTGTCTTCCATTTATACACCTCAATCATATCCCCCCCAATTCTACACCTTTCTAGAGAGTGCTGATTCAGGGCGTCAGTCTATCCTCATAGGGAAGTATACATGCACTGCTGGTCTCAGTATACAAATATCAGGAGTGAGGTTCACCACATGTATAAAGTAACGTATAAAAGACAGATTCGTATTTATAACTGAATAAGCGAGTGACATCTGGCGGGAGGCTGGTCGCATCTCTGGTTGACGTTCCTGGAGGCAGGCAAGCTCCGGGCAGCAGCAACATCGGGCAGCAGCAACATCAGGCAGCAGCAACAGCATCAGGCAGCAGCAGCAGCAGCATCAGGCAGCAGCAGCAGCATCAGGTAACAGCAGCAGCATCAGGCAACAGCAGCAGTAGCAGCAGCAGCAGGCGGCAGCAGCAGTAGCAGCAGCATCAGGCGTGAGGCAGCAGCAGCAGCAGCAGGGAACGGCAGGAACGTCATGGTGGCCTGCACGCCCATACATCACAGGCAGCGGGGCGTGTTGGACCTCTCCCTCACACAACCCTGATGTAACATGCAGATCACTCCTCTGAAACCAGGCTCATGTAAACGATTTTAAATATGTGACAAGTGGGTTTGTTTCGCGGTCCATTGTGGGAGATGACGGATGTTGTGGGAGATGACGGTTGTTGTGGGAGATGACGGATGTTGTGGGAGGTGACGGTTGTTGTGGGAGATGACGGTTGTTGTGGGAGATGACGGATGTTGTGGAAGATGACGGATGTTGTAGGAGATGACGGATGTTGTGGGAGATGACGGTTGTTGTGGGAGATGACGGATGTTGTGGGAGGTGACGGTTGTTGTGGGAGATGACAGTTGCTGTGGGAGATGAGGATGTTGTGGGAGATGACGGATGTTGTGGGAGATTACGGTTGTTGTTGGAGATGACGGATGTTGTGGGAGATGACGGTTGTTGTGGGAGATGACGGATGTTGTGGGAGATGACGGATGTTGTAGGAGATGACGGATGTTGTGGGAGATGACGGTTGTTGTGGGAGATGACGGATGTTGTGGGAGGTGACGGTTGTTGTGGGAGATGACAGTTGTTGTGGGAGATGAGGATGTTGTGGGAGATGACGGATGTTGTGGGAGATGACGGTTGTTGTTGGAGATGACGGATGTTGTGGGAGATGACGGTTGTTGTGGGAGATGACGGATGTTGTGGGAGATGACGGATGTTGTGGGAGATGACGGATGTTGTGGGAGATGACGGATGTTCTGGGAGATGACGGTTGTTGTTGGAGATGACGGATGTTGTGGGAGATGACGGTTGTTGTGGGAGATGACGGATGTTGTGGGAGATGACGGATGTTGTAGGAGATGACGGATGTTGTGGGAGATGACGGTTGTTGTGGGAGATGACGGATGTTGTGGGAGGTGACGGTTGTTGTGGGAGATGACAGTTGTTGTGGGAGATGACGGATGTTGTGGGAGATGACGGATGTTCTGGGAGATGACGGTTGTTGTTGGAGATGACGGTTGTTGTTGGAGATGACGGATGTTGTGGGAGATGACGGATGTTGTGGTAGATGACGGATGTTGTGGGAGATGACGGATGTTGTGGGAGATGACGGATGTTGTGGGAGGGCTTCAGTGGTGCTGTGGGCGTGGGAGGTCTCCAGTGATAGTGTGGGCGTGGGAGGGCTCCAGTGATGGTGTGGGCGTGGGAGGGCTCCAGTGGTGCTGTGGGCATGGGAGGGCTCCAGTGATGGCGTGGGCGTGGGAGGGCTCCAGTGGTGCTGTGAGCGTGGAAGGACTCCAGTGATGACGTGGGCGTGGAAGGGCTCCAGCGATGGCGTGGGCGTGGAAGGGCTCCAGCGATGGCGTGGGCGTGGGAAGACTCCAGTGATGGCGTGGGCGTGGGAGGGCTCCAGTGGTGCTGTGGGCGTGGGAAGGCTCCAGTGATAATGTGGGCGTGGAATGGTTCCAGTGGTGCTGTGGGCGTGGGAGGGCTTCAGTGATGGTGTGGGCGTGGGAAGGCTCCAGTGATGGTGTGGGCGTGGGAGGGCTCCAGTGATGGTCTGGGCGTGGGAGGGCTCCAGTGATGGCGTGGGCGTGGGAGGGCCCCAGTGGTGCTGTGGGCGTGGGAGGGCTCCAGTGATGGCGTGGGCGTGGGAGGGCTCCAGTGATGGCGTGGGCGTGGGAGGGCTCCAGTGGTGCTGTGGGCGTGGGAGGGCTTCACTGATGGTGTGGGCGTGGAAGGGCTCCAGTGATGGTCTGGGCGTGGGAGGGCTCCAGTGATGGTCTGGGCGTGGGAGGGCTCCAGTGGTGCTGTGGGCATGGGAGGGCTCCAATGATAGTGTGGGCGTGCGAGGGCTCCAGTGATGGTGTAGGCGTGGGAGGGCTCCAGTGATGGTGTAGGCGTGGGAGGGCTCCAGTGGTGGTGTAGGCGTGGGAGGACTCCAGAGATGAAGGCGTGGGAGGGCTCCAGTGATGGTCTGGGCGTGGGAGGGCTCCTGTGGTGCTGTGGGCATGGGAGGGCTCCAGTGATAGTGTGGGCGTGGGAATGCTCCAGTGATGGTGTAGGCGTGGGAGGGCTACAGTGATGGTGTAGGCGTGGGAGGGCTCCAGTGATGGTGTAGGCGTGGAAGGGCTCCAGAGATGAAGGCGTGGGAGGGCTCCAGTGAAGGCGTGGGCGTGGGAAGGCTCCAGTGATGGTGTGGGCGTGGGAGGGCTCCAGTGATGGTGTAGGCGTGGGAGGGCTCCAGTGATGATGTGGGCGTGGGAGAGCTTCAGTGATGGTGTAGGCGTGGAAGGGCTCCAGAGATGAAGGCGTGGGAGGGCTCCAGTGAAGGCGTGGGCGTGGGAGGGCTACAGTGATGGTGTGGGCGTGGGAGGGCTCCAGTGATGGTGTAGGCGTGGGAGGGCTCCAGTGATGATGTGGGCGTGGGAGAGCTTCAGTGATGGTGTAGGCGTGGGAGGGCTCCAGTGATGGTGTAGGCGTGGGAGGGCTCCAGTGATGTGGGCGTGGGAGGGCTTCAGTGCTGGTGAAGGCGTGGGAGGGCTCCAGTGATGGTGTGGGTGTGGGAGGGCTCCAGTGATGGTGTAGGCGTGGGAGGGCTCCAGTGATGGCTTGGGCTTGGGAGGGCTCCAGTGATGGCGTGGGCGTGGGAGAGCTCCAGTGATGGTGTAGGCGTGGGAGGGCTCCAGTGATGGTGTGGGCGTGGGAGGGCTCCAGTGATGGTGTGGGCGTGGGAGGGCTCCAGTGATGGTGTAGGCGTGGGAGGGCTCCAGTGATGATGTCGGCGTGGGAGGGCTTCAGTGATGGTGTAGGCGTGGGAGGGCTCCAGTGATGGTTTGGGTGTGGGAGGGCTCCAGTGATGGTGTAGGCGTGGGAGGGCTCCAGTGATGGCTTGGGCTTGGGAGGGCTCCAGTGATGGCGTGGGCGTGGGAGGGCTCCAGTGATGGTGTAGGCGTGGGAGGGCTCCAGTGATGGTGTAGGCGTGCGAGGGCTCCAGTGATGGCGTGGGCTTGCGAGGGCTCCAGTGATGGCGTGGGCGTGGGAGGGCTCCAGTGATGATGTAGGCGTGGGAGGGCTCCAGTGATGGCGTAGACGTGGGAGGGCTCCAGTGATGGTGTAGGCGTTGGAGGGCTCCAGTGATGGAGTGGGCGTGGGAGGGCTCCAGTGATGGTGTAGGCGTTGGAGGGCTCCAGTGATGGCGTAGACGTGGGAGGGCTCCAGTGATGGTGTAGGCGTTGGAGGGCTCCAGTGATGGAGTGGGCGTGGGAGGGCTCCAGTGATGGCGTGGGCGTGGGAGGGCTCCAGTGATGGTGTAGGCGTGGGAGGGCTCCAGTGATGGTGTAGGCGTGCGAGGGCTCCAGTGATGGCGTGGGCGTGGGAGGGCTCCAGTGATGGTGTAGACGTGGGAGGGCTCCAGTGATGGTGTAGGCATGGGAGGGCTCCAGTGATGGCGTGGACGTGGGAAGGATCAACTAGGCTGTGTTTCTGACTGGAAATGATTCATGTTTTGGATGACGTGAGAGGGTCGTCGTGACTATGTTGGCGAGCTGGGCGACGACTCTCTGAAACAAGACGACATGTGTGCACTTAATATACAAAATAAGAGAGAGATTTTTACGTAAGTGGTACACACACACACACACACACACACACACACACACATACACACACACACACACACACACACATACACACACACACACACACACACATACACACACACACACACACACATCACACACACACACACACACACACACACACACACACACACACACACACACACACACACACACACACACATACACACACACACACACACACACACACATACACACACACACACACCACATACATACACACACACACACACACACACACACACATACACACACACACACACACACACACACATACACACAAACCTACTGGAGTTCTATGACATGGTGACAGCAGTAAGACAAGAGAGAGAGGGGTGGGTGGATTGCATTTTCTTGGACTGCAAGAAGGCGTTTGACACAGTTTCACACAAGAGATTGGTGCAAAAACTGGAGGACCAAGCAGGGATAACAGGGAAGGCACTACAATGGATCAGGGAATACTTGTCAGGAAGACAGCAGCGAGTCATGGTACATGGCGAGGTGTCAGAGTGGGCACCTGTGACCAGCGGGGTCCCGCAGGGGTCAGTCCTAGGACCAGTGCTGTTTCTGGTATT